GATAATAAAAGTAGTGGCCATTTGTTGTGATAAAGAAAAAAAAGACAAATCTCACAAGTCATTTTCTAATAAGAAATGCGCAGCCAATTAACGAACTCGAACGCGCACCACACCGATCACGTTATTATTTCGGTCGCATTGAATTGAAGATCAAACTATTTGTGGCTCTCGTCAACAAACCGAACAGCGCAAAGATTAAACAGATTGCATTAAGGTGAAACAAATATTTAAAGAAGAGGAACAGAAAAAAAACTGCATTTTGGCGTCGACTCTTTTGTTGAAGCATATTTGCGGGAGCGAGAAGGAGACTGTGAAGGAGCGTGACCGAATTTTTATGCCATGCCGTGAATACATAAAACGGACAAATATGAACGAGCAAAAAAATGTGTGTGTGTATATTTTCCAAACAAAACAGATTGAAATGCAAGAATTAAATAAACCAACCCATAATATACAATGTGTGCTCACTGTCTAAGTAACTGTAATCCATGAAATCGAATAAGTGTTTTTTAGTCACCGACAGAAAGAAAAAACCTAGTTGGATAATTTACAATATGTGTATCGAGCCGCAAGTGAGACGAAAGACGAGCCAAGCCAAACGAGTGTGTGTGTGTGTGTGTGTGCGCTAGAACAACTGTGTGGTGCTCGACTTGGAACTATTGGAGCTGATGCTATCATGATGCATCGAAAAATAACCGTTGTTGAACAGAAGAGAAAAAAGTGCACACAAATCGCTAATGAATTCAAATAGATGATTATCGTATTTAATATTCCGTACACAAATGTATATCGGCACATGTGCTTTGGGCTGGCGACCAGCCCGAATATGATTCGATTAGCCATGCGGTGCATCGAGACATTGTGCTTATCGACGTTTACGCGCGGCGTGCTCGAGCGATATGCGTGTTTATGGTTTTTGTGCTTCCAAGGAGTGTACTTGCGACGAAAATCGAGATCAAAACTATTTGTTGCACAATAAGAAGTATTAATGTGCCCGAGGACCGCATTTCACTAGACATCCATTCCGAATTCATGTGGAATATGCGCACGCGCGCTCTTTCTCTCACCCAATCGATTCTAAATCTCATCAACTTTCATTCGCAAATCCGAACCAAGATGAATTATTACAGTCGCGTCGGTGCACGGAATATACCGAGTGTCAATTACGCTCATATATTCACCTAAATCATGTCTAATTTTCTTTTCTTTTCCCTTCTAAAACATTGTTGCATTCACAAATGGTTGCAATTGTACGGCTTTGCATTGTTTAAAGTAACCGACATTCGAGAAATGTCTGTTAGAACAATGGCCAGGCCGAATGAGGAAGTTAGCGGTGTTACATATTTCAATGTATTCAATTTTTCGAAAATGGCCAAATGGCACAGCTGTTTCTTGGCCCGCTCTCGTCGTCTCGTAGCCTACAAAGTAATTTTGGAATTTGTTGCAATTCTCTGCATCGAAATAACTGACTTTACCACAAAATGCCTGGCAACAATATTAACGCTTTGGCATGAACACCAAACATTTATAATAATTTCCAAGTGAAATTGGGGCTCTTGTGAACAGCTTCAAATCGCCTAAATTTCAATCAGACACGCGAAATATGAATTTTTAACTCGACGGGTTTTTTTTTGTTTCGTTAAAAGTGCAAAATAAATAAAATTGCTATGAATTATGGCATTTCCATTTTTCGCTAAAGTAAAACTACGCCAAAGGAACGTCGAGATCGGGCAAAAATCAATATCTGGTTGAGATCATGATTAGATTCTTAAATAGAGCAATAATTCATTGGCGAAGCTAAGCTGCCAGCCGTTCGGAACATATTCAGTGGGAATCGGACGTGTTCGTTGCATTTTATGAACAATAGTAAGCTAAAATAAAATTGAAAATATAAATAATAAGCGCATTCATGAAAATCTGTGCTGAATTTTTGACACATTTTCCATAAAAACGATGCCATCTATTGGAATCTATCAGTTTGTTGAAATCTTTCAATTGTTTGAAATGTTGCACACGTAAAGAGATCGTTTCCATTCGAATACACATTTCGATACATGCATATCAACCTAATTTGTTTATTGCGATCGATATCAAAACACAGCAGAAAAGAATGTTGTTTACAATTTTTATGCTGCATGAGATTAATGAGTACGGTTCTCAGAAGCAGCAGCAGCATTGGCAACGCCGTGCATATGGGTGCAAGAGACGATCAAGTTCGTGCTCTCGTATCGATGTCATAAGCAAACATGAATGTCATAAACGATCGCAACACGTATTGGACAACAATCGGTGTGCTGCTTCACCACGACGCGTCCATTGGCGGATGCAATAGAATTCCATCGCTCTGTTTATGTGTGAAGACGATCATTTATCCGGCCAATGAATATTAATAATCGATGGTGTTTGTATGACGATCGTCTAAAAATAGTGCAACGTTTTGAATGAACAAAAAAAAAACAACAACCACGAAGGTAAGTGTTGAAACCAAACGATGTGTGTGAAACAGGACCTAAAAAAAACGTCATTGATTCTCTTTCTTTGGCATTTGGATCGTTTTCATAGCAAACAGTCGAGCAGTTCAATGTCTAATCTATTCTTTTTATTATTGAGAGACGATGGCAGTGGTTACGTATTTCATTACGAGCCTCTTCACAGCACAAAATATATTATTATGTTTCATTAAAAAGCGATGAGAAAAGTGAATAAATTATAGCAACAGCAGCAGCCGAAGCTGCAGTTGCAGCACCAACAGTTGACGAGATGAAGCAAGACAAGCGCTAGTGTACACCTCATCGCGCGCATCGTAGAAAATGAATGTGTTTTGAAAGGAATCGAAACTGAAAAGTCAGTGATTTAACATCGGTTTTAAATTTCATAAATAAAATTGTGCGCGACATTTTTCTCGCGCTATTTCGAATTGTGTGTGTGCGCGCGGTCGCTGTCCAAAGTGTAGAGAGAAAAAAAAGTACACACTGGCACGATGGCGAATGCATTTTTTTTTACACAATTGCTATGAATGCATATAGCAAGAATGGTTAGTATAATTGAAGCGATTGGCATGTATCATGCAGGCGTTTCGTTTCCTTTTCGTTGATTTGTGCTGTTTTGTTGTCGTTGTTTTTTTTTCGCTTCTTTCTCTCGCTCTCCATTAAACCTCAGTAAAAGGTTGAAAATGTGCGGTAAAATCGGGAATGAGATGAATAAAAAAAAATATGCATACAATAAACGTTTGGACGCTGCATATATTTTGTTTGCTGTTGTTGGTTCTATTTCTACCGAGAGAACATTGTGTAACCGATACCATTCTCATGCACTTTGGTTAACTGATTTTCATTTGTGGTATAATGAATCAGTACGAATGAAATGCGCCAAATGCAAAACAATCATAACAATTAGAAATAGGAGAAATGCGAATGAAATAGAAACGATTGAATAATACCAAGGATTTTCTTTCGTTCGTTCGATCTTTTCTTCTTTTTTTTCTTAACCAAATCGCTTTTGATTGTTGGCGTTTCTTTTGGGCTGTGCGTCCGGTTCAGTTGCTGTGAACCAATTAAATTTAATTTGAATTTTTTCGCTTCGTTTTTTTTCGCTGTTGCCAAAATGCATTGTGTGTTGGCGCGATCATGGGGCTTGCAGGCGGATCAGCCCAGCCCACCGTCGATACAATGAAAATCAGTAATTCGTGCATTTTCCAGTGATGACAAAACAAGAAAATTTCGTGCTACTCCATATGTGGAAATGTACATGCTGTGTGTGTGTGTGTGTGTGTGCATCAATGCAAACCCAATCCGAATAGTTGAAGAAAAGAAAAAACAATCATTCTGCACGCGGTTTTACGGTCGCGGGATTAAGGAAACCATAAATAAGTTGATCTAGAAATGGATCGGTTTGCTTTTCTCTGAAATTCACCGCATTCACACACAAATCGCGAGCGAGCGACTCTCATTTGTTCTCTATTTTGCGCGCCGTTTTCCAAGTGCCTCTCAACGAAAAACACTTAATTTACAACCATTTCCATTTAATTTACACATATTTTTCAGCATTATTCAATCAGGTTTCCGTACGGTTCCACAATCGATAAAGCCGTTTTTTTCTGCGCCTCTGTACACGCTCCTCCGTTGTGCAATCAAAACTATAGCGCTGTTTTTTTTTTGACTCAATGCAGATGTGTCTATTAAAAATGAATAAATGCGAATTTATTTTTGTTTGATTGTGAACTTTGTTGCGCCTAATGAAATCCGTAATAAAGATCATAAAACTTTATGATAACTGCCCGCTGCGGGAACAACGAGTTGAGCGCATTGAAGCATATTTGATCAAGTCGTTGATTTGTTTTGGGTGCAGACTGCACACAAACATGAGATTTGTAAAACTTTTCATGAAATATCACCACTTTTCATCGGCACAAACACCATTGCAAACAGCAGAATCCGATCATTTGCGAAAAGTTTTCAATCGAATGCGAACGAATTTATTGGTCAAATGGCTTAGAATTAGAAAATGTGTACGAATGCGCTACGATTTTGACATGATATTCTTGCTCATTGGCAAAATCAAGATAAATCCGTAAATAAATTTTTCTCTCATGGGAATCATTAACATTGGGAAACCGTTTGCTTTACTATTTCTAGCAAAAGAGCGCACAGTTCGACGCACTATTCATATTCAATTTACAAGTTCTATTTTTTTTGCGGACTCCACATTTCATTCTAAATTGCCTTTTTATCTAAAGTAGATAACTTGAAAAAATTTCCAGTCTACACTTTGTTTTAATTCGGTCGTTGAATTCGGCACTGTGACATTTTTTTTTGTTCTCTGTCCAAATATTTTCATTTTTAATTAACGATCTTAATCAATTATATGGTCAATTCGCAGCGTGAAACTATTAGGTTTTTTTTCTTCATGTTTTTGTTGTTGCTTCGGTTAAAAGAGGAAGGCCATTAACGAGAAAGGAAAAAAAAGAATATTTTGACAAAAAATGTTTTTGCATAATTTACCTCTTGCTGATTTCAAACAATCTTCACGAAATGAAAAATCGGTTTTCTCTCCCAACTGTGATAAGACAAATCAATCTCTGTTCACTTTGTTATCACAATCCTTTTTAACTCAACTGAAACTGAACACTTTACACAATTTCTTTTCTTGTTTTGTTGTTCTTCACGGGGCTGTGACCAAAAATAAATGTCCGCTTTGAAGTTCCAGGAAATCGGGAAAAATAAACGAAAAATTCACGAAATTTTCGGTAATGTTCTTATTCACTGTCGATCAATTCGTTATAGGCCGATCGATCAATTGCACACGAGGGTCTGGTATTGTTGAATGGATGGATGGTTGAATTGTTGGTGGTGTTGCTTTCGAGTTTGCCGGATACGTCTATTCAACGCAATGAACGAAAGAATAATGAATCTGTGAATCGGTCTGAATGATCGCTTATATTTATAAAATATTCGCTATGATTGTGGCATACGTACGAGCTGGCTCTTTCTGCATACCGGTAGCACTCACTCACTCACTCAGTCGGCAAGAGAGACCTCCGAGACCAGCGAGTGAGCGCGGTTCGCATGCTCTTTCACATACGCTCCGCTTCTTCTTCTTCTTCTTCTTCTTCTGCCTCATCGTCATCGACAGAACAAACGAAACAGAAACAGAAGAGCCGAGAAAGCAAGAAAAAAACCGCAAACTGTTTGGATTGTGATGTCGCAAGTGTGTTAGCGACCTTACATTAAGTGTGTGCGCGCGCTTTCCATCGTACTGCTTCTCTTCCAATTCGATTGCTGTTGTTATCGTTTTCTGTGTGTCGTTGCTGTTGTTGCTATTGCGATCGCATTGCTTCTTTTGTGTGTGCTTGTGCTTGCTCGCTTGTTGTTTTTTTTGCTCCATCTATTCGGTTTTAATCACGGCGAGTGAATCGCAAGCATTCAAATGATATCAGTGCATTGTGCGGTGTGCATGGAGAGCAAGCCAAGTGCAAGTGCATTTTTTTAATGATAATCCCAAGCTGTCGATGTTTACCGGGTCCATCCATACCTATGATATTAGATGATGTTTGTCGGTTGGCTGGTGCATTTGCAGTCAATTGTTTTCACATCACAATTTAAAACCAGAGATATGTGAATTTGCCCAATGCCAATGCACAAGGTTGTGCGCCACACAACCGATTACCACAGCGCTACTGAGAGCTCCCGACCGCGCAAGCAAAGTGAACGAGAGAGAGAGAGAGAGAGAGAGCAAACGATTCGTGATTTCATGAATATTATTTTATTCTTGGTTATAATAATTATGATTAAAACAGATTATAGCAGTCATTTAGAATGGGCTCAACAGCAGCAGTAGCAGCAGCAGCAGCAGCAGCAGCATCAACTAGTTGCACCTTTTACTTAGATTTAGGCCCCAACCACACCGCTCAAAACATGATCTGCTTTTTTTCTATTCTCTCCTTCATCGTCATGTGTTCGTCGCTTAATATATAAGACTTTTCTTTGCATAATCACGTCTTTCGTTTTCTTTCACTTTGATCCGATTGCAGAATCTCACTCGATCACATGTGTGTGTGTGTATATTTCTTCATTCATTTCATTTCATTTTGCTACTGTATACTTAAATGCGCATCGCAATTTTCTATGCCATTTGACTTTCTCTCTGTGTTGCACTCCGCGATCAGGAAGTAACCATAAATTAATATCATCTATCAGAAAGCAACGAAAGAGTGAAAAAAAAACATCCAGAGTCAACAAAAGCGAAATGGATGAATTTAAATGATGATTTCGTGCAGCGATCACCGTGTGATCAGAGACACGAATTATTTTCGTTGGAGCGCGCACATTTCACATCTTGGTAAATGAAATGACGTGTCGAACAGTGAACAGCGAGCGATGGTTTTTCACATCAAAGAGAGAAAAGTGCTCTTGTTCGAAAAACAGAAAACGACTTTTTATTTCTTATTTTTTTTGCTGTTTCATTTTAATTGTCATCGCACTATCTCTTGACAAGCATCATCAATTCACTTTCTGCCGCTCTAAATCAGCCGGCGGCTGTATCGTGCGCACTGCGCAGTTAAAAGAATTGCAGCAGAGTTTAATTTTCTGGAAATTAGCACTTATTCAAAAAAAAAAAGAATTTATCGCCGAAACTATCTGAACTCAAGATTCTCATTTGCAAACGATTCGGTAATTATGTGTTTTTCATTGGGTTTTGCAAGCGTTTCTTTATTGCCATTTAGACCGGTCCTGAGATTTGAACTGTGAATTTTAAACACAATTGGATTTAAGTAATCCGAAGTACATGTCATGCCGGATTTTCGTCCTGCAAACCCGCTAATTTACAGGCTCAACAGTTATATGATCCGTTGGAACGTCATTAGCGAATGAATGAATTGAATTAATGGACAAATAAAATGCACGGCAAAAAAACGAAATAATGCTGGTGTTGTGGTGTGAACGTGCGATGTGTGGTTCTGTGCGTTACTGCGTCTCGCGATTACGACATAGGCATAAATTACAAAATAATTTCACTTAATTCAGCTGAATGATGGCTGTTGATAACCCTGATTCGTGTTTGGTTGACCATTTGCACTCGCGGCGGCTTTCAAGCCCATGACTGAGAACAAGTGCTCATTTGTCATGTGTTAGGCAGCATTTGTTACTTTTTTTAAAGCTCATTGTCGCCGCCGTCGTCGTGATCGTTGTCGTCGTTGTCGCCGTCATTGTGAAACATTTCAACAACCGTAATTGTATCTACCGATTTTTTTACCCGCATGATCGTTCTGAGACAGAACCTTTCTGACACTGCCTGTCGGCAAAATTATTATATTCGTATTATGATGTTTGATGAGAGTGTTTTTCGTCGACGGCATTTGGTGAAAGAATTTCAGCTAATGACGCACTGACCATCAGATGCAGACTTATTATCATATTTGGTCTGCTATAACGTCAAACGAAGTAAGGCAAGGTGTTGACTATAAATCATTTGCCTGTGCGCACAAATCACGAATTTCGGTGAAATGAAATAAAACCAAAAACGGTAAAAAAACTCATATTGCCGTTGAATGGACATCCCATTGGCCGCTCGGTTCTATGTATATTCGGTAGATGTAAAACAATTTTGTGGTGTGTGTGTGTCCCACAGGATAGAAAGCTCAAAAATTGGTGCAAATTCGTTGTTTTAGTTTTGGTCATCACGCTCTCTTTGTGTGTGTCTCCCTCTTTCTCACCCTCCTTCCCTCTCTCTCTCTCTCTCTCTCTCTCTCTCTCTCTCTCTCTCTCTGCCTCTCTATCTGTTTGGCTAACATCAAATTAACATGTGTTTTCAAATGGAAGAATGTCAAAATGCCTTAATCATCAGTTGCTCCACGTCTATTACAATCGAACATATGTTTATGCCAACGAAAATCAATATTGAGACCACATCGAAAAAACGACCCATTATTGATCGCACACTTTTAAATACATCGATTGCCAAAATTCATTCGAGTTGCATAAGTGCTTGTTTGTGGATGTTAATTGGCACAAAAGAAAATCTGGTAAAAATAATTTGTCGATATGTTGGCGCTTGGATGAATCATAATTATGGAATTTCTTCTTAATAACAACTTGGCGATAAAGTGAGGCAAGCAAAATAAGAAAAAAAACAAACAAACACACGCACACCAAATCCAATGATACTTTGGAAATATATGCAGTAGCTGGTTCTGATGCGGGCAGCTAAATGTAAACAAAGCAAAAAAGCGATTTGTAGAATAGATCGTTTTTTTCTCTAAATAAATTATTCATCAGAAAACTTCTCAGCTTTTTTTAAATCATATGATAAAAGTAAATCAATGGAAGAAGTCGATGGTCGTTAATTTTATGGAGCATCTTATGGTTCAGAATAAAATATAAATATAATATAATATCGACATGAAATGTTTAAATAATTCATCATTTACGGTTGAGTACATTTCACTGAAATCACCGTTTGATCATCTATCTAGTTGTAATTGACAGTTATTACAAACGTATCCGATGACCATATTGGGAGCATTAGCATTTTGGAATATCCGACCCGATCCCGATATATAGACGGGTGCGCGGTAGTATTTTTTTGTGTTTTCTATTCTGTTCTACTATTGTGATGTGATGTGATGTGATGTGATGTTACGTATTTTTCACGTCCATTGCCGTTTGAACTTGACGTTGAACTGAACATTTCAATTCAGCTGCGTCATTCAAATGTGTGATTCGTCATCAAAAGTGTTTGCATTTTTGATTATAGGTTGTGTGTGTGTGTGAGGCTAACCTATCTGCTAGCTAGCCCTTTTCTCTCTTCTTTCTTCATTCGATCTCTCTCTTTCCGTCTCGCAGTGACGCAATATGCAAATGACATCTCATTTGCAACAAAGTAATTGAATTTTTATGCTGTGCTATCATATTTATTAATTTGCATAATTACGAAAACAAATGCATTATTAACAGCTAATAAACGAGTAGAAGTACATGAGTTGTGTGTATGCATTTTCATGTGTAAAGAATCCGAAAGAATGCTCGCGCTCTCATTCGCTTCACCATCGAATGGGATGGTGTCGAGCAGAGCGAGTGAAATCAGATCAATGGGTTTTCAAATGCAAGTGAGAAACGTTAATTTCATGCGGAACCAATATTTACTACTATGATGAAAGAATCACTTCGATCCGAACCGTTTCTTTCCGAGAAAATTCAAATGGCCGATCGAATGTGCCAGCCCATATGTGGTTTTTGATTTAACAAAAAGAACTCACAAACAAAAACTCTCCGCACACTGATTCTGTACTATACCATAAATGATAAGATATAACTTAATTAATTACATAATTCAACTTGCTGAAAAGAGCGTTAAGTGAACTATGGATTAATTGGCCCAAAGAATGCAATATCATTGATGTATCTGTGAATGGAAATAGAATTTCACGCTTCTTTATTTTATTTGGCCATTAGTTCCGCAAAAGAAAAATCGATGGAATAAATCTCTGAACAATTTGCGCTATTAGAAGCGTTTTACTCTCAAATGGACGAATAACAATCAACACAGTCATAATTCCACATTTATGGCCATAGATTCCGTTGGAATCGGTTTAGTAAATATCATTCCAAGCATTTTATTGCCGCACTACGACGCGCATCAAATACACCAAAAACCATAATAACGACAATATATTCGATAAGAATGAACTCTATAGTCGAAAATTACAGTTCACTTTTATGATGTATATTGCTGAAGTAGATTTAACCGGAAAAATTGTTTTGGAAATTGAGTTTTATCTGGTTATATACATCAAAACCGACCGGCAATAACACTTGACTTCCCAGAATTAAGACTTCATTCCAAATGTTCGGTTGGAGTTAATTTGAAATTGAATTCAATTATAAACAAAGATTCTGACACCCATCGATATTTTACGACTTAATTTCCAAAAGTGCGGAATTTTTTTCGGTCTCTACTTTTCTCTCCGAAAACAAATTTTACAATAGATAAAATTAAGTTTTTCGACCCATCATTAAATTTTGAAGAATGTTTTAATGATTTTACAGGTAGATGGAATTGATTTTTTTTCTGACTCCCCTGACATTTTTGGTGTCAGAATCTATGATTATGAAGTGTTTATCCAACCTAATCAACGTAAGGTAATTTGGTAAGACCAATATAGGCCTTACAGCTAATTTGCGTGACAAACTTGTTATCGCCCCATCAATCTTCAGTCTTTTTTATCCACATTTGAATAAAAAATCTTTAATTACGCATTTAACGTAACGTCATAAATATTCCAAAGCGATAAATTTCGATTTGATTTACGTGATGCGTCGACGATCTTATGAACTAATTAGTTCAGAATCTGATGAATAAAAGATAACAAATTAAATTAACAACAATCAAAATCCAATGAATTACAGCAAACATTCTTTGCTGGCGCTTTTAGGCTATTGATAACAAATTAGTCTTGGATGGCAAAAATCTTCTTTTTTCGTTATTGATAAGGTGGAATATGATACGAAATTTGCGAAGTCAAAACCGTTTTTTTTTTGTGGCTTAAAACTGATGAAAGAAATGTTCGCTTGAAAAACATTTTTCTCCTCTATGTATTCAAAATAAGAACACTCACCGCGGGGGACTATTATCTACCATTATGGGCTCTTCTTTCAGAAGCTAAATATATACACACATTTATTTTCATCTTTTTTATTCAGAAATAAACGGCTGAAATTTTTCGCTTCATTTTCACACATAAAATTCCCATCAATTTTCGCTCATTGAAATGAAACAAATGGATTTTGCTGAATTTGAGTTAATTTCGGACAAAAAATGTCAATTTAAACAATCTGAATCTTCGTAAGCCATGAATTTGATATATTATAACTTTTGATGGCAGTTCATTTTGGATCACTTCAATTTGACTGAGTAAATCGTTGATTTCTTGGGCTTGTGTGAATAAATTCGTTAGTTTTCAATTTGATTCGTTTCAGTTCTTCATTACCTTTATTCGTTGAAATTGCGTGATTCATTTCGTTATCGTAGGTAACACTCTTTTGAGCCAAAACGATCCGCTTCGATATGAACTGAATATCAACGATATCCAAGTTAATTCGGTGTTTTGCCAATTTGATTTTATGCATTTTCGTATAAATCTCATTGGTCACATTTGCTGTACTATGAATCACACTGTCCAGAACGTCGTTAGGCATTTCGAGCGCGAGCAAACCCAATCTTTCTTTGCGATCGGCCAGTTCGGTGACGGACATCTTAAATTTGTTGTTATGCTGAATCAACAGATTTTTTACCGAAAAGTCGTTAACAACATTGTCCCACCTCTTGGTTTCGTTTCTTTCGAACACATCGACGTAGTTGATAGCCTGTGAGTCCAATACTGAAATTTGAATAATGTCGAGAGTTTGAGGCAATGAAAATGCTGCATCAGTCAAACTCATCTCGTCGGCAAGCGTTGCAAGTTGTTCTAATTCATCATCCATTTCATTATTCATCCACAAAATTTTGAACAACTTTTCGAGCCAGTCAAATTGCGCTGTACCACGTTCTTTCTTTGTTTTTCTTCGATTATTATTATGGATAATAATTAAATTAGATTTTAAATGTCTATTTCTGGCAAATGAAAATTCTTCATCATGAAGTATAAATGGAAATAAAAGTAGAAAATATTGAAATGACAAAGGATTTAATTAAAATTTAGAAAAAAATCAGCATGAATGAAACACAGTTCTCTTGTCTTCTATTGACATTCTTGAAAATGACCAAAACAATGATAAAAAAATACAAAGCGAAAAAAAGTTGTTTGGTTAAAAATGAAAACAAATAAGAAAAATGTTTAACATGGAAATTCATTTGGAATGAAAACGATTTGAAGCCAATTCAACTTACAAGAAAGTTCAAGAGAAAGAATGCAAAAGCCACACATTTGAAAAACTCCATTCTTTGTCTATGCTAACCAACCTCTCTGATCGTCTGTACAAATAGATAGGAAACGTCAAACAATAACAATAAAGCGGAGAAATAGAGAAGCATGAACATAGTTTGCTGTAACAAGTATGCGTCTGTTTTAGTTCAAACGTTGAAAATATGACACATTGCACTTAGTCCCCAGGTGCCACTGCATTGTTTACTATTTTCATGATCAGAAAGGCTGATGCTAACGGAAAACAAAAGTTGACTCGTGACCAAAATCGAAGCGCAATCTCTTTTCAATGTACACAAGGTTTAAGTGGCAAAAGATTAGAATGTAATCATTGAATACATTGAGCCCTCCAAAATAAACGAAAAACAGAATCAAATTATCTTATTCACTGAATGTTATTCACGGCTATTCATTACTCATAATCTAAATCACACAGCAGAACTCATCTAAAGTCGATACATAGGAATCTTTATTTTGTATTAATTTTTGATAACTTATCAAAAAATCAATCGAAATAGGGCCGATTAAATGTGTGCCAGAAAAAATCACGTAAATAAGTTGCTCGGAAAATTTAAATTGACTCAGATTTAGTGAAGTTGTAGTATAGGTCAAAATCTCTCGTTCATTCAAAAGAAAAGTCTCATTTCAAATGGTTGATTGACATGAGCTTGATGTTTTTATCGCATAAAATGTATGCGGCAGGTGCCCATCATCGACGTAATAGAGAATTTGGTCGATCCCTTTTACTTTTTTCAAAATCAAACCCGTTTGAATGCTTGAGTTGTCGCCCAACAATGTTATCATTTTCAGGGCATTTCCATTTTCCGCATCAAAGTTACGACTTCGATTTGATTCGAATATAGTTCCATGTAAAATAGCTACAAATTTATTGAAAATTCGACCAGTTCTACCTTTCTGATCAATGATCATTAAAATAGTAAACAATACAGCGCCGATCATGATGACTAAGTGCAATGTGTCATACCTTCAATGTTCGAACTAACACAGACGCATACTTGTTATAACAATCTATTTGCATGATTCTCTATTTCTCCAACCAGTCCCCAGGTGCCGCTTTATTTTTTCTTGTTTAACGTTTCATATCTGTTTATACAGACGATCAGAGAGGCTGGACCAGTTAATTCTTTAACTTTCATTGCTTTGACACGGGTTTCATTCGGGCTTTGCTGAGCACGTCTTTACGATCGGTGATCACGTTCAACAGCTTCTTGTATTCATCATTGTACAATGTGAAATTTGTATTTTACCACTTAATTGGTGAACACTTTGTCACATCTGTACCGCACCATTCGTTTGAACATGGGCGCAAGTAATGGAGAGAAGTCGATGTGAATGTAGACAATTTCACGGCGTCCATTATCTTGGACAATAAAAGCGCCGCATCGGCAACACTTATTTCCTCAACGGGCGGTAACGCATTCACCAAAACATCTTGAATTTCAATGTTCAAGCGGAAAATATGTAAAATTCACTCGACCCAGTCAATTTGAACCGTTTTGTCTGCATTGTCGAATGAATCACGTTTCAATTTAAGCATTTGCACATAGTAGGTTTGCTTGAATTTCACATCAGCTGTTTGTGGCGCCCGGCTCAAATTTATTGTAACAGTAGCTGTGGACAATCTGAAAAGAATTGAGTTCTTGACGGTTAAAATTGAGTGAGAAATATGTTTCACATTTCATTCTTTCGACAAGATTTATTCGAAACAAAGAAACAACATTCATTTTTCAAACAAAACTCTTCAGTTTTTTAATTAAAATTTGTGATTTTTATCGGCTTTTTGTGGTCATTTCTATTTATTTTTTCCTTGTCTATTTTCATTTTAATTTCAATTTTTTGACATTTTCAGACAGAAACGAAATTTCAAATGGAAGAAACCTGAAAATAATGCTTCGTTGGGACCAAATCATCATGAACAAATAGATAAGTTATCATCAGATGAGCTGATTTGAAACTTTCACATTAGTGGTGACGAACGAAAATGTTATTATCTTCCATTCACCTGTTTCGAAGTGCAAGTACAAATCTTGATCGAAAAATTCTCATTCTTCCTTTTGCTTCGCTTTAGTTTTATTTTATTGGATCGTTTGAGGTTCGAAATAATATATGTGGTTGGGTGGCAATCAAATCGTGCATTACTCCCAGATAAATTACGGAGTCTTGTTCAACTGTCAGATTATGCCGATAATTTGAAGATCTTTTTTGAATCAAGCGCCGATACAGGTGTAAAATCTGGTTTTTGCACACCATAAAAAACAGAAGTCATTTAAGAAAATGAAAAAAAAAACTTGTCGCTATTTATTGATTTCAAACGCGTTTGAAATGATCAAGAACAATCAAATAAAGTTAAAAAAAAAGAAATTAAAAGAAATTTCGAAAACCATCAACTTTACATTAACTCTCAAAATTGTTCTACGAGAGGAGAAATATAGCAAAATAGCGGGAAAAAGTTATTTAAGAGAAGTTCCCACTCGATGAAAAAAACATACAATTTTGTTGTTTGTATTAAAATATACGAGTATTCCGTTCCATTCTGTTTATCGTGAGGTCTTTTTTGTGTACATAGTGCACGGCCAAAGCCCGCCGCAACCGTTTATCAGTAATCTAAAAGCCGAAAGAATACGTAAAAATATAAAAAGAATACGTCTCAGTGGATGATCTTGGTTTAATCTTCTTCTGTTTTGCCTTTTCTTCGCCGACGACTAATTAACATGAACTGTTTCACGATATGTTTCACCACGTCGTGGAGTTGGATGTGTCAAAGTGTAATCAACAAACTGACGAACTTTTGCTGAACTGGATCATCACATCGATCAACATTTTATTTGCTTTAATTTATCATTACCATTTCAACGCAATAATTAAAGTCAAGAGAAAGTCAGCTGTGAATTTGCACATCCATCATGATATTTGAGTTTCACCACCACATTTTTGGATGAAAAATCATTTATTTTTGCGAGAGAAAAAACAAATGATCGCCATTCATTTTTGCAACAGTACAAAACCATTTCGCCAAAAATAAATCCGTAATTAAAACGCTTCATTTCTTTTGTTGCCTTTGATAAAACGTTATGGTTATTTTACCTTTTCAGACGGTTCGTCATCGTAACGCAGACATTTATCAGTTATCACGCCAAAAGATAGCATCAACACGCCATAGCTCGATAACGGTTCTGCTCGGTAATACCCGGTTTTGCTAAGGTCATTCGAATGGTTCGTTTTTTGTAGCAGAAGTAGGAAAATTCGCAATTGAACCGCATGCGGTTTTCATGCAAAAAATGAATTCAATCATCAGTTTCTTAGATTGGAAACGAATTTTGGGAAAGAAAACAATTTGATGACAACACCAAGTGATTTTTGCGCGGTGAATTATTGATTCCACTTTCGTCATGATTGAGACTGACAACAGATCAATTTCATTGCTCAACATTTGAACTTGACACTGGAGTAACATGCAACATGTTGCGTTACATGTCTTCGTTGGTGAGGTCGGTTGGAAGTCATGTTTGAAAGTGAAATGCTCAGTTCAGTGGAGGTGCCTAAGAAAAGACAATCTTTACACATAAAACTGAATGTTGTCTCTATATCTGTGTTTCGCTAAGCAAGGTAAGACTGCCAATATGTAATTTAAAAACAGCTTACTGAACAATTGCACTTCCTTTGTCGGCCTACATCGATCAACAGTTGATAAATAATGAATATCAAGTCATATAGTATAAGTAATAAGAAGTGTTTTCTGCCATTTTTAAGTTTTATCAAATCATTTCTAGTGGGTGAAATGAGAGTAGTTGACAACGATTACTGGTTGGATTTTTGATTATCCATTTATTGAAGCCAATTGTTCAACAAATAATTACAACGGAATAAAATTTGAGAAAATGTTCGCGAAAAATCCACAGATTTTGGAATAAACACTCTAATGAAAATATTGCCATGTTACATCAGCCTATGTTTAGAACGTGTTTCAATTACAATATTAATTACAAGCAGAGATTACTATGAGATATTTTTATTCATATGGGATAGAAATATCGCATAAAAATATCAGATATTTTTCATGCGTTGCGTTGTTGTAACGCATCTGCAGTACAAAATTCATATTCCTTTCTGCATTCCAAGTCAATTTTGCTGAATTCGGCTCGGGTCAGTCTCAAATTCGACTTGGAATATGAATTTTGTACTGCAGATGCGTTACAACAACGCAACGCATGAAAAATATCTGATATTTTTATGCGATATTTCTATCCCATATGAATAAAAATATCTCATAGTAATCTCTGATTACAAGCAAATTAATGATAAGATATTACTGAAATGCTGGATCATCTGGAGCTTTGATTCATGTGTGTCTTTAATCAATATTGTGTAAATTCAAATGGGTCGAAACAATCTCCATCAACGTCCCTTATTTCATTCTTATTCGGGCATGGACGTTGCATTTTATAGCTTATATCACCAACGGCAGAAATACGAATGCCAGTAGCGCCAATGAGATGACCCATCTCAACACCATTAGAGCCATATTGAATCTGTGGCAATCGTCCTTCTCCATGTGTCAGCAACAACAGGCAACACAAAACCATAAAAATCAATTTGTTTCCCATTTCCAAACGTATTCTAATAAATAAATCAATATTAACAAATGATCGCATCATTAAAATCTATGCAATTTGAAGTAATATTTTTGAGTGACCTTACTCAGTACTCACTTTTCAAATGATTTGCTTGAAGTAAAATTAATTTGATTTTATTCAACAGTTATGAGTTGTTATTCGATGTGGTGCGTTCACTTCAAATACCCAAAAAGATCTGTGTAAAAATTTTCCCTCTGAGACATTGATTATATTGCGTTTAAAACCACCGTCTGTTATTCGCATTTACACTTAATAAATTCATATACCATTAAGAATGTTTTAGTCCTTATCAAAATCAATACGATTTCAAAGAAAAAGTAAACACAAATATTTTCGACAAATCTTATCGCTTTGAATGAACTCATATGCCAATTGTACATAGAAAACGATTCTCTGTGTGTTGAAGTGTGCGGCTTCATTTGGTGTATAATATTGTGATTTGCATCTTCAGGAAAAGGTCAGAGTAAATATGACCAGATAGAATAAAAAATAGCACTGTGTCCGGTTGTTTACGAATTCTGTGTGCAGATGATATGATTGGTCATCCATATTTTCGGGTTTTCCAGGAATTACTGATTAAATTACTGATTTATAATAAAATATTTCTTCACTTAGGGGATTTAAAAACACAACCGATTCTTCATTCAATGAAGCACTTTTTATTTCTAATAATATTGCAATGAATGTCACTTTTCGTATTGAAATATTATTATTGAACTTCTGTCTATGCATTCGCCATAAACGTTTCGAATTTCATTTTTATTTTGACATCCTAAATCAAAATCAACATCCGTAAATGTTCTATCTACTCCATCGATGCAATTGTTGTCACTCGGGCAGGGTATCTGAGTAGTGGAACTGTTGTCAACACGTTTCTCTGCTTCTTTTTCTATTTTCGTTTCACCGAGTGGAAAGGCCATTGTCAACACCAACAGGTAAAATGATGATAACAAAATCAATTTCACTATCATTTTTGAAAATTATATTCAAATCGACAAGTTGATTTTGATTCCAAATCTGAGCTCAAACAATTGAAAAATAAAAATGAAATGTCGACTGTTTCTCCACGATAATATAACTGACTGATTTCCAAAAATCCTTTAATCCGTTTTTCGATGACAATAATCAATCACTTTTGACTTGATACATCCGTTCACTGCAAACACCAAAATCGAATGAGCGACTGCTTCAAAATTCGAAGCATCTCTGCTTCAAAACTCGAAATATTGGAATTTCTAATGACGAATAAATGAACTAAGAGCTCAGCTGTCAGCTGATAAATTGATTTATAATGAGATGACATGAGCGATAATTAGAAATGAATATTGCCCGTCTCAGTAAATTCGTTTTCCACACTAGGAAGGCAATCAAGTTGCTTGATTTAATGTCAAATTACCCAGTGTTTGAAAGCAATTTAGAAGCCAATACTTATAGAAGATTGTGTGTAAAGCAAGTTCATTTGTATTTTTAATAATGTATGACATCAGCAAAAATTAAAAGCATTCAATGAATCCGCTGTATCCAGAGCCGAGGTGTTTATATAAAATAATACGGGAGGTGATTGTGTTCAAGAATTGGGAAAAATGCAAAAATTCGTTAAATATTTCGCTTGATATGACTGAATCATAATTAAAATATCGAATACAAAGAGGTCGAGTCCACAGTTACTGATAATTCATATCAAGTGAACATGATGTGAATACACTGGACGAATGAAATAACGCCTGACTATGAGAGAATAAAAGCGAAATTTTATACAACATTTTTTGTTGAAAATGTCCGTTCCTTGTTCATAGAAACAAGTTTTGTTTCTGGAACCCTTCTCTGATGATGATCATCCGGGCGTGAGGTTCTCAGTGACTTCAGATAAACAGAAAATGTACTCTTGACGATGTGTTACTCCAGGCAAAAGTATTGTTATCCGCTTAGGAGCAAAAGGAAATCTTTTGAACCTACTAACCTTGAACATAGAAAGGCTCAGTGACCATAAAAACAAAGTACAAGTGTCCTGAAGTAGATTACATGCAACTTGATAAGTATAGCCGAAAGAATTTGTTTTTTATGAATTATTTTCTATTCAATCATTAATTGTAATACGGAGAAAAAAACAAGTCATTTACAATGTTTTGTTTATTCTTTATTAAAAGCAATTTCTATAAATGATTTTCAGCAAGACCCAAATGGAAGAATGTCTTTGTTTTGCATTTATGCAAAAACTAAAAATATAGGTTTACATTCTCCCGTATCCTCATCTCTTTCTTCCCCATCTGGACATGGAAAAAAGAAAGTTGTACCAGGATTTAACGATGTATTTTTTGGTGGAACCGTTCCACTTTGCTGTTCGGGTTGCACTTCTGATGACTCTTCAGATCGATGCTCATTTACTAGCAGTAGTAGGCAACACAAGCTTAAAAACATCAAATTCGCTTTCATTTCTGAAAATAAAGCAGCCATTCAACATTGTATTTGCGAACGATCAGAATTTGAATTAGCATCGAGAACTAACAAAGAGTATGAATTATGGAAATAATCTTTTTTAAATTACTTTTGAGTAATCCACTCATTTTTCAAATCTTTTCACTTGTGTAAATAAAGCGAATTCAACTATGTTTTGGTAGCGATCAAGCTCTGTTACTAAAAAATCATAAGTCCACTCGAAACTTTAAAACACGACTGATGTATAACGCAAAGTTGGGCGTATTCTAGGGCAAAATGAATAACAAACATGTAAAGAATACACACGATATCAATCTACATGTACATGAACACTGTGAAGTGTGCATTGTGCACAGTGCGATAATTTATAGCAAAATATCAATTTATACAACGCAATTTTTGACGTTACTGATTAATATCGGCCCGGTGTATTTTATTCAAATGAGAATGTGTCTCATTATTATACATGTATGCGTATGAAAAGAAATGTGTAACTCATGAATCAAATATTGTACGAATTTTGGTCATTCTAGAGTTATGCTCAACAAAATCCGTCGCACAGAAAGCAGTTGTGCAGCCGTGCTGTTTGCACATCGGACTTTTTCGCATACACATCGTTCGTTCATCGTGTTTCCTATGTGCCGAACGCTCTCTAGTAATTCATTCCATCACTGTAGCCATGCTTCGTACGGAACTACGCGTACACGCGTACACGCATACACGCGTTTGTCTGTGTGCTGATTTCGTTTGTATGAAACACGATGAACGACGATGTGTATGCGAAAAAGTCCGATGTGCAAACAGCACGGCTGCACAACTACTTTCTGTGCGACGGACTTTGTTGAGTGACAAATGATTTTCTGCGATTTAATGGAGAGAAATGCCAAAAGGGTTCATAAACATTGATGATCTGGTCAAACTCTGAATAAAATAATGAAATTGTTTTAAGACTAGTTAGGTGCTTGAAAACATTCTCTATAGAGAGAATGTACTTTTCCGATGCAATGGACACTTGCTAGATGGACGATCTTCTAGTGCAATCTAGAAAGTGCCAATTTCATGCAGCCAACCAAACGTTGGCGTGCGGTGAACGCATATAGAACGCTCCGCTGACATTCCGTTTTCGTGACGAGCGATCCATCCAAATTTATGATAGAATCCATGAATTTGTTTGGATAACACGTCACAAAAACGGAATGTCTGTGCCGGTATTCTGGAACACAATCCGCAAAAATAAATGAAAATCTACACATTTCTGTCCAAGTAAACAGTGCCCCGAAACCGATAACATACAAATGAGGGACCCATTTGTCATCGTGAGTCAGATAAGACCCGCATAAACCCTGTGTATACTAACACATGTGTGGGGAATACATAGAAATACGCTCACAATTCGCTGCGAGTTATACCACAAAAAGTGTTTGCCAAATCTACGCGTCAGCTGCGAGCAACTCACATGTCAAATTATACTTGTATTATTTATGTTTTCATTCAATTTTCATCAGTTTGTTTTAGTGATTCGCCCAGCATGCAAATGTGATGACTACAACTAAAGGAATTCGTTTTCTTTGTATTATCTCCAAAAAAAGATGATTGATTCATGGAAGAGAAAAAACAATTCATTTTTTAGTTATTCTTTATTAAAAGCAATTTCTACAATTGATTTTCAGCAAGACCCGAATGGAAAAATGTTTTTGTTTTGCATTTATTCAAAACTAAAAGTGTAGGTACGTTCACATTCTCCCGTATCCTCATCTCTTTCTTCCCCATCTGGACATGGAAACAAGAAGGTTGTACCAGGATTTAGCGATGCATTATGTGGAATCATTCCAGATGGTTGCTCTCCAGATTGCTGGCTATCCGCTGGCAGCAACAGGCAACATAAGGCCAAAAATACCAAAATCACTTTCATTCCTGAAAATATAGCAGTTAAATCGCTTTTT